GTGTCCCGTCCCGCCCCGTCCCCCCTCCCCGGTCTGCGTGACCCTGCCGTCCCGGTGCAGCGAGGGCAGGGGCAGGCAGTGGCCGGCGGCGGGCCTCGGCCCCGTGGAGGGGCGCTTGAGGAGCTGAGGGCAGGTGGGAGTCCCTAACGGGGTGTCTGACCCGCGGCTTTTCTTCTGGTCAAACACCTCAAGTAAATAAATGGTGAACGTTTGCCAGCGCGACGTCTTCATTTTTCCGAGTCCCTGCCCAAGGGAGTGCGTTGTGGCCCCAAGGCAGCTTGCGGGAGGGTCCCTGCTGGCTGGGAGCACAGTTGCTTTCTGACCCACAACCTTGAGAAACGGCGAGGCTTCGTCCAGTGTAAGGAGTGGGGGAAAGGAGAGAAAGCAGCCCCCTGTCTGAACGCGTGTCTCCACCTGTTCTGACTCACAGTAGGGTTTCAGGGTTTTGTTGTTACTGTGTTTCTGTGGGGCATTTTGGTTTGTGGTCTCACCTTCACCTTGCCACCTTGAAGGAGGGTTTGGCAAATATTGTAGGAAGGTGGAAGCCCTGTGAGGAATCGGCTACCTGTATCTGATCCTCAGAGGAGCAGTGGCCAGCAGAGGAGTGGTGGGCAGCCTTCCTCACCCAAAGACTCCTTTACTAAGATGCTGTGTGACCAAAAGCCCGTCCATGTATTATTTTGGAAGGTCATCAGGAGGTGAGCTCTGAAAATCCCTGACAGATGACAGGCTGCGGCGTGGGGTTGGAGTGGGAGAGCTCCTGGCTCCCGAGGTGACTCGGCAAAGTCAGCCCCAGCTGTCGCTGGCTGTTTTTTTTTCCTTCCTACAGCTGGAGTTTGTCTCACCTAGCAGTCCTTAAGCTGATACAGCCTTCCTTGTGGGCACACAGGAACAAACTCAAATGTTTAGGAGAGCACAAACCTGCCTTTGTCCTCAGATCACTTAAAATGCCACAGGCATGGTGTCCTGGGGGTGGTGGAGCAGAGCAGTGCAAAGCAGGAGAGGACAGTAAGCTGAGTAAAGCAGGAGTTGCTTGTGATTGCCTAAGTGTGTCTTCGAATTAACGGCACCAAATCTTCATCATTCTAAGGAAGATCTCTGATCATCTCCAGATGGACCAGCAGTTGGTCCATCGGACAGCTTCAAACCGCATCTGCAATGGGGAACATTTGGTCTCCAAACAACCAGGGTGAAGTTGGGCTGGAGTAGAAACTCTCATGTAGATGCAGGGGCCTTACGCCAGCTGCCTTGTTTTACTTGTTCACTTGCACTGAGCTGAATTACCTGCCAATTTAGACATAGCCTGTGTGTATGCTTATATGTTGTATATGCGTATATATTGTAACAGATCTGTGTAGTGGGTGCCTTTCTTTGAATCAAGTCTTACATTTTTTTTTTAAGACAAGGCTGGATATATTTCAAAGCGTTAATTCAATATTAGATTCTGTCTTCCTGAGACTGTATTTGGTTTTAGATAACTGTATTGCCAGTAACTAATTTCTTCCTGATAGGACTAGATTTTATTGGCAGTGAGGTCATTGCTCCTTGCCATGGGTCTGAGAACAACTTATAGCTGAAATTATGGAAGAATATTGTTTACAGGTCTGTATATTTACATATTTTCCTGGTAAAGTGTCCCTATTTTATTTCAGTTTAGATGGATTTTTTTTTTTTTTGGTAGCAGAAAAATACCTCTAGTGCTGTTCTTGAGTCAGAGAAAAGTAAAAGGGAAGCCCCAAAGCCACTCGGAAATATACGATTTTAACTTGCCATTTGAAATGTTCAGGTGAGCCGATGTTTGAGGACTACCTCCTCTCATTCCTGGCAAAAACAAGCCACCACAAAATTAAAGATCCCTGAATCAATACATTTGGATGCTAAGCGTGTGTCTCACTATATAAAGCATACATAGTGGTTAATTACTTTGTCACAAAATTATGTTCAGTCCTGGAAATACTGAGACACCGGAATAGTCTAATGGAGTATAAGAAGCATATCCATTTGGGTGTTTGTTAGGTGTTCATGAGGTAGTTGATACTTTTAAACTCCGGTAGATGATGTATCAGGAACCTTACATCTGTAATTAATTTCCATCTGATCGGTCACTTGAGAGCTCCGATTAACTTTTTATCTTCCTGCTGCCCAAAGCAATAGTAGAGTTTTATTTTAAGAGTAGTTCACATTTTACTTCCTAACATGCACTGGAATGTCCTGGGCAAATGTTAACCTAACTGATGCTCTCTTGAGTACCGCATATTAAAATCATTAAACTTATTTAACAAACTGTTAGGCAGTGTTTTAGATATGTCTGTCTGCTTCCCGTTGGTGTCTTCTGTTTACAGGATGAATGTAGTTCTTGTGTGCTTCTCTTTCAGGTCAGGTCGTATTTGCTCCTCAAATTCATTATAGAAGCAAAATTGTGTTTGGAACCAAAGAACAAGGATGGTTTCTCACATCTTGAAGTCAGTAGTTTGCTCAGCTGATGAGCTGAGGAAATAGGTCATTTTAGCTGTCTCAGGCAAAAAGCAGTGATGAGTAATCATTTCCTTTCTAGCATATTTTCTGTTACACTACATTTCTTACTCATATACCAAACACGGTCTGTTTGTTTAATGGAATAAAAAAGACACAGAGAGGACAGCAGGAAATAATTAGCCATAATCTCTCAGCTTTTGATAGAAAAATTATCTGGTCCAGGAGTATCGTGGATGGAAGCATCTCACTGGAGAAGTCCATATGGATCAAGTACAGTGCTGTAATGTGTTACAGTATAAAAGATGGAACTTATCGGAAAACTCCCTTGTGCCTGGTAACAAAATGTGTCTGTATTTGTTGCTTAATCAACAGGGTCAAAGTCTGAAGGTGTCCCCAGTAGCAGTTTGTATCAGGGCAGTGCATGGTAGCTCTACTCATGAAATCAGAAATCCAACACACAAATCAGCACATGAGCTTTAACAGATGTTAGAGTCCCAGTCCTCTCCTGAACTTCAAGGAGGCCCCTCACCACAACTACATGATGGGAATCTTGAGAGGAGCCTGATGTGGCGTTGCCTTGCATTTCCTTGTTGAGGCTACTGCTAGTTACCTACTAGAGAAAACAGGTCTTTTTTTTTTTTTTTTTTTTTTTTAAATCACTGTGCTTGGTCTTTCCATCCCCAGCTGGCTATTTAGCTGTCACCCCTGCTTTTTGGAGCTACTGGCTCTCTTCCAAACCTTATCTTCTACCTACAATGTGTTTTTTGTTGTTTTTTTTTTTTTTTCTTACAGTCTAGTGATTGGGAAGCACACATTGTATGAGGAATTCAAACTAGTGGATAACAAAATCTGTGAAGCAGTCATTCCATAAGACAACAGGTGAACTGGGTTTCCGAGCCTACAGAAAGGCCAGTGATTTTTGTCTTTGAGTGGCCTTGGTCTGGGAGAGAGCAAATGCTGACTGTCTTTTCCCGTCTGTTGTCTGACAAAGTGGAAGTACATCTCCACAGTCATATTAGGCTTCTGCCTTGAGTTATTCCTCCCCCTGCAACAGCTGCCTCTTGCAGACATAACTCTTTAAGTTGGAACTGAGTCTGGTGCATATTTCTAGCTCTTTATACAACAATAGTTAAAACAGTAAGATTGTAATTTGAAAGTGTTGTCGAACTATGACTGAATATTACTGCAGGAATGCTCAGAGTGTGGGTCTTGTGCACCTAGTGGAAAAATACTCATTCCTATTTAGTATTGAGGAATAAAATGCAAAAGCCATCTACCCAGTATTATTTTTTAGGGGACTGGCCAGACACAAAGCTCAGTTATAAGGAATCTTTGTGACCCAGCTGAAGGTCCCCTTCTTCTCCTGGGGGCCCAGTTCTGCAGGAAACCTCTTCCTAGGAAAAATGTATGCTCAGCCTCTTTTCTTGCAGGGCAAAGGAGAGCTGTATGCACAACGTTTTCTCTTCCTAGGTGTAAACTAAACCTATTTCACTGCAGGCCCTGTGAGTTGTGCAGAAAACTTTTAGCTCAAAGGGTTGGTGGAATTCTCCTTGTCTTACTCCTCATGCATCAGCCTTAGGATCAAAGGGCAGTGTGTTCTTGGGCTTTGTGACTGGCCATGACTTCTGGGCTATTGCAGTTCATAACTGGAAAGACTACAGAAATGCCGCAGGAAAGGTCTGTATATAACATTTTATTCTAGGAATGAGTAGAGCTGAATTGAAAGATCAGAAAGCAGCCAAAGGAATTGGGGTTGTCAGTCAGACAAGTGTCCAACTAATCCAATTCCAATTTAGTCGCAGTTCTGTGTGAAGAATAAAAATGTTCTTTACAACCAACTTACCTCCCCTCCCTAAGGCCAGTCTGCTCCAGCCGCAGCTGGCTTGTCAGGTTGCATGATAAGGACAGTGCCCCTGCAGGAAGCCCATGTCTTTCTTTTTTGGCTGGCACAAGTGCACTGGCAGCTTCAGGCAAAACTTTCCCAGCTGATGAAGCAGGAGAAGCTTCCTATTAATGCTTAATAGACCAAGATAAAAAGAATGGCAGGTTTCAATGGCATAAGGAGACTTGGGTCAATCAGAAGTGACTCATTTTTCAGGTGAGAATCAAAGTGCTGCCTCTGGTCGCCTGCAGCAGGGGAACAGTCCAGATCACGTCTTCTGTCACAGGGCATCTGGGAATGTTGGCTCTTTACCCCCCGCCCTCCACAGCTGTGTCTGCTCAACCACTCACTCAGGCTGATTTGTGGTCCTGGACTTAATAGCTTTATTTATCTTTTGGGCTTGTGTTCGAGTCCAAAACTCTATCTTCTTCTGAGGAAACCTGGGGCATGTGACTCTGCAGCAGCTCTAAAGCGAGGGAGTTGGTGAGAGCAGCTGGTCTCAAGCTGCAGGCTGCCGGCAGGGACACGTAGTGATGCTGAACTGCAGCTCTTCTCACGAAGGCGATGCTGTGCCATTTCTTAGCAGA